CCTCGTTTGCCAGAGTACGTACGATATTGCCACTTATCGGCGATATTGTCAATAAAGATCCGCACGGCTGTCCCTCCTCCCCGCGCGGGGAGGGGTTAGGAGTACTCGAGCATTATAAGAAACTGCCCCCGATGCAGTCGCGCTCGGCCGCGCGGCGCGGCAGCGCGGTCGGCCAGCCACTTCGAGCGGAAGAAAATCGATATTCGCCGGTGCGCTGAGAGCGCACATACGCGCCTATAAATGAGAAGATACCGGGCCAACTTGCGCTCGTACGCACGCATCGCGTGCGGAGCAACGAACGGAGATACTTCGCGCGCGCGCTCAGCAGCGCGTTTCAGTATCGCCGCTATAAAAGCGGCTTTAACGGCTCCCGCCGCGCCGCTAGCCCGGCGAAGACGAAGTGATTTACGCGAGAACTTAAGGGACACGCGGCACGACGTTCCGAAATTGCTCGAGTTATTTGTCGCACGCGGGGCGGGGGGGAGGGGGGAGGAGCGCGCGATCCGCGTCGACGGATCCGTCGATGGCGCGGCGCGGTTTCGATAAGCGCGCGAGTGAACGAAATGCCGGCGAATTTCGACGCGTCAAATTTATAGCGCAATGGAGAGTGAGAGGGAGGGGGGGGGTGGTGGTGGGGGAGATGTTCCCCGTCGACGTAACGTAACAGAAAGGGCGTTATTTGCTCGCGCAAAAAGCTACCGCGTATACCGGAAGAACGATGGAAACGACGCGCAGCTTTCTGATACGTATCGCCTTCCATTAGGTATGCACCCACATAACCGCCCTGCGAGGACCATATCGCCGTAGGAACATCTCCATACACGTCGTCGCGGCTTAAAGGTCGGCACTTTAAGTGACACACGAGTGCCATCAGTTGTTAGCTCGGAGGAACAGCTCCGAGAGAGAAGCTCTTCCCTTAAGTGAAGCTCGCGAGATCAAAGTTTACGTCTCGCGCGCGCTCTCTCTCTCTCTCTCTCTCTCCTTCTCTGTATAACCACTTCTCCCTCCCTCTCCATCCTCGCTCGCTTTCTGTCCTTTAGAAAACAGGATGACAAAAATACCGGAATTTCCTGCCGTCCGCGACGCGGGGAAGAGCTAGCGGTGCATCCCGGAACTTCCCGCGGGTCGGTGTGTTCTCGATAATACTCGCGCCAGCCGGAGTCTCGCTTCGATATCTACCCCCTCCCTCCCTCCTTACCCTCCCGCCGTGCGTTTCGACCCCCGTTCCCTGTATATCGAATAATACGATTACCCCCGTTTCTTGCTCACCCCCGTAAAAAAGGAGATTACTCCTCCCGCCACGCTTTCCCTGCTTTTTTAGCCGAGCCTCGTCTGGCGATACGCGAGACGTATCTCGGCAATATGTGTCCGAGAATCGCATTTGCATGTGCGACGCAATTTGCAAAATCGACGTCGGGGATACGTCCATGGCCGCCGCGCGCGGCTGAATTAATTGTATCTATTTCAACTTTCCGTGCGCACGCGCGGGCGGATTTAATTTTCCGGCCGGCGGATTTCGGTAAAGCCGCGCCGTTTTCTAGGACATTCCCGCAATTACATATGCATCGCGGGACCGGTCCACGCGTAGAGACGTCGTCCTCCGAGGATTTCGCGACGGCGGGGAGAGGGGGAGGGGGGAAGGGTGCCGTACGACAGAGAGCAGAGAGAGAGAGAGAGAGAGAGAGAGAGAGAGAGAGAGACACCGCTTCAAAGAATACCGTCTTGACCCAGACCGACCTGTCGAGAACGTGGCGAGACACTTTTATCTTTGACACAGTTCCGGCGGCGCGCGAGAGAACGCGGCTCGCTCGAGTCTGAAATGGATGGCGCCTATGTCGTTCTTTACAGCGTGTCATACGTTATATTACTATATACGCGAGCAAGTTTATTAGTTCATAAAGGAGATTCCCGGCGAGGAGGAAGCGCGAGAACACACAAACGCTCCGCCGGCGAGAGAGGGCCGGGGAGAGAGCGCGAGGAGATTCGCGCTCCAACTTTAAGTTTCAATTTGGGGGAGGCGCTCGCGACAAGTTTTTCCCAGAGTTTTCCCATCGCGCGCGATGATCTCGTGTGATTGACAGTACGATAAATGACCGTAGTTGCCGTATTCCATTTTAGCCGGCGCGAAACGGGCGCAGCCCCTTTCCCCTCCGCCGTGAGAACGCCACTTCCGGCGAGTCACGTCATAAATTATATTTGTGCACGCGAGTGTGCACTTCATCGATCTGTAATTAGGGTAGCTCCCGAAAAAACGCTCGCGGCACGGCAAATAGCAGCACGGCGCTCGCGTGCTTTTGGACGCGATCTGTCATCAGGCGGTGCTCGGTCTTCTCGGCAGCGACAGCGAAGACGGGGGGGGAGGGGGAGGGGGCGGGGGAAACACGGCCGATCCCACGGTCGCGCTTTCATAATTTTACGATTACGTATGCTCTCGCGGATAAACGGCCGTCCGAAGAATAGCGGCGCGGCTCGTCCGTCGCCGCGCAGCCCCGCAAAATCCGCCGCTTTTTCCACAGCCGGGGAAAACGGGCGGGGAGCCGAGCCGTCGGGCTCTGAAGGCGACTTTTATTTCGCCGAGCTTCGCTCGTGAGAAGAAACGTATCGCTCCTTCCTGCCGCGCCACGCTATAAATTATGGCGCAGGCCAAGTGTCATCCATTCTGACCCAAGTGACAAGCTAGCGCCCTCCCGCTTGTATACACCCGATATCGTTAGCGAGCATGAATCTCGCGGGGGTGCGGCGCGGCGTCGAGCGACGACGAGAAAATTACTGAACGCGTCGAAGTGAACGCCGCGTTACGGCTCGTGGAAGATTCGTCGAGAGTGGCTGAGGTGTAATGTGCTTTCGCGTCTCCCCGAGGATGAGAAATATCCGGCGCGGAAGGCGCGAAAGATTGTGCATCGATTATTGCAACAAATTCAGCCGTGCTTTCTCGTCTCTAGTCAATCCGCCGAGAATTCCTTCGGATTCTTGCGCGCGCACAGTTCGCCGTCTCTCCTTACGACGCGTTTAATTGCTTCCAGCTTCGATTCTCCCCGAGAACACTTCTCCCGGGGATTTTCCTATAAAGTATCGGCTTTCAAGTCGATCGAGGGATAAAAATAAGAGCCTCACGCTGGCGTTTTATACATGATTACGCCCGCGAATCTTGGGAAATTCATTTTTTCTTCTTCTACTTTTTCTCCTTTTTATTTCCGATGGTCGCCTCGCTGGAAATTTTCTATTATATCCGCGCTAACGTATGTCGAGCTTATCCGCGCGCAACAAAAATCATATCTCCGATGTAGCGGATAGAAGGATCGCGTAAGAGGCTCTCTCTCTCTCTCTCTCTCTCTCTCTCTCTCTCTCTCTCTCTCTCTCTCTCTCTCTCTCTCTCTCTCTCGCATACACACATACGCGCGCGCACACGCGCGTTCCCATCGCTTATGCATCCGCGCGCAGCTATTCCCCGAGGATTTTGAGCAAGGAGAGCCTCGCACGTATGTGTCGCCACGGCTAAGAGAGCTCTGCTAAGACCGCACTGTTTTACATCATACTGAAGTAGGAAAGAGAGAGAGAACGAAGGAGGGAGAACATAATCTGGGATTTTTATTTCCCGCTCATCTCACGACATGCGCCGCGCCTCGCGTGTGCTAGGCGCGAGCTCGCGAAAATTTTTTAAAAATATTGCAAAGTGGAAAGAGCGGCGGAAGAGGACACGACGCGCGATCGCGCGTCTCGATGGAGAAATATTCCGGAGACGAGGGAAAAACGGACTTCCGATCATCGTGGCTTAACACGCGCGACCCGCTGCGCGGGATTAATAGCGCGAACGAGAAAGAGTCGTCCGACGGAAAGTGATTCTTTCTGCGACCTGCATGTCACTCGCGAGATAAGTAACTAGTGATGGGCAAATATCGATCGATGAAACAAGCATCGATTCTTATTTTCTTCGAAAAATCGATTATCAGACTATTTAGATATTTTTGGGGCCGATTATTCCCTGGATCGATTATATTACTAGATTTGTTACTAAATTTTTATCACCAGGGAATTTGTTTGCTACTATTAAGGCCCGTCTACAATAGCTGCAAAAATAAAGCTGTAACAGTAAACAGTAAAAAATAAACCAACAACAGTCGACTATTATAAGAACAATCGGTTTTAATTGGTTTATTTCTTGTAACTTACCATTTATTAAGCCTTATTCCTATGTATAAGCTTATGCTTGCAGCCATTGTAAAAGGGTCCTTAAGGTTCTAATAATATATTAATTTACTGTTGCAACATATAACTCTTCACATTAATTTAAAATAAACTAGGGAAACATCGATTATTATCGATATTTTTAAGAAAATATCGATTGTGCAAAAACGATTTTTTTGATAATCGATTAAATCGAAGACAATGCTTTTTTTTGACGAAGCCCATCTCCACAAGTGACTGTATTAGCAGCGGTGCGAGCACGCCGAAAACATCATCAATTATACGATATGCACAATAAGCAGTCTCGCGAGGACGCGGGAAACAAAGCGCGGGAACATACGCTCTGCGGTCCGCGCCGATTCGCGCGCGTTCAATCGCATTCTTATCCGACAAAAGTAGCTTGACCAGATTCCAATTTCCCGCGACGTAACCATTGCATTCTGCATGTCTCGTGTATACCGAGTGTATCAGCCGTAAACAGTCGCCTTTGTGACAAGACGGGACAAATAGAAAACGCGCTTATGTGACGCCGGCTTATGCAGCGAGCATAGCAACGCCACTGTAAATATCGCGTATTTGCAACTTGCGGAAACGCGGAAAGTATCGCGGACATTTACGCGACATCGTTTTAAGCCATTCCAGCGATGGAACGGTGAGACCCAGCGGCTTTATCGCATAGTTATTTCCTATCGTCGTTTCCGATATCAAGTGTGAGAGAATCAGTATTCGCATATAAATTAAAATATACCAATGCATTAAAGTATCAGGGAATATATAATAATAGAGAGAGAGAGAGAGAGAGAGAGAGAGAGAGAGAGAGAGAGATAATATGAGAAATGCATCAAGGTATATAGCGTGATGTTTGAAACGGCGAGATCTCGAGCTTCATAAATCGCTCCAAGGTTAAATCATCATCAATCCAAGGTTAAATTGATCCCTAAAGAAATTCACCGCAGCGGGATGTGGCTGCTTTTATTCTGCTCGTTAGAGACCAACGTGATTTACTAGGCATGCATTAGAACATATGTCGCTCTGCGAGCGTTAAGATTCAACACTCACCGCTTCACGTTGGAAATCCATCGACGTTCCAGTCTGGTCCGCCCCAGCACGAAACTCGTAGCCGCATCGTAGCATCCCAAACTGCGTCACTTCGTATCCGGTGCTACGCCTCTGTCGTCCCATGCTGATTACACGTCACTTCACTTCACTTCGCTTCGTTATTCTTTATCGCGACGCGATTAATATTCACGTTTCAACGGCGTTTCGCGAATTAACGGCGGCATCGATAAAAAACGTTGGGTTTATCTCGAAACGAAACCTACGACTTTGATTTCGACCTTACGATGATTTCCGAAAAATCGGGATTTACCGAGTGCATGTTTGTTTAACAAAGATCTGTCTTAATACGATAAATTCAAACATTTCAGGAATATATATCGCGCGTCACGAACTGAAAATCAATCGCGAAAATGCATCACAGTTGCACGAGAATTGACCTAAAATATATGATATGCATGATATTTTCACGCTAAATGGCTTTGCAGAATTTCTATAGAGACCGTTCCGCGATCTCATCGTGAAAATTAATTTCGAAATGCGTATATCCGGCGAATTTGGTTCGACGAAAAATTCCTGTCTAACTAGCGCGATCACAACGTACACGTAAACAACCGGGTTCACGATGACCGATAAATTCTATCAATACGAGCGCGAATACGTATTAACGTGACTGTCGAGAAATGTTATTTCCATAGATAAAGAGAGAAAAAGACTACAAACCGCAACCGATCGAGAAATTTATTTATTAACTACGAGCGAAATTAGCGCGATTTTGCACGTGGCGCAATTCCGTGACGCGTGACTGCCTCGCTATTCACTTTGCGAAGTTTCAGGATCGAACTTCATTCGATCGTATTCTGGCAATCGTGACGGAAAATGGAACCGTTGAACAAAATAGTGATATCAAGTCGCTAATAACGAGTCGTTAAAACGCAGCGAGAGATATTATCGGATCTTTATTTAGGTAAAAACAATTTTTGTGTGATGAATATTGATAACGAAAATAAAAATGTAACAGATATAACGAATTACTGAACATCAAGTGTTGCCGCGAACTCTTGCTTCTCAGAATAAGAAGAAATCCGACTCGCACCATTACAGTTCGCTCAACAGCTCATAATTGCATAACATGCAAGAACATACATGATTGCATCTCCGATTCGAACCGTACTCGAACCGAACTTAGCGAAATTCACAGCCGGCCACATGTCACTATATTCAGATCTGTAACAAAAAGATATAATTCTGCGCATTAGATTCACGAATCCTGCCTATTAACCGACAAGTGGAAGTAGAATTGAATTATTATTTCCACGATCGCATCTCGATTTTCGGTCGCGAAAGATAAAGGATGAAATAGAATACAAAAAATCAACTCACCTTCGAGACGATTCTGCTCGGCCCGAACCGGATCCTCCGGTACCGCAAAACACCCACCGCACTCGCTCGCAAACTCCGTCTCAGGTCTCTAAAACAAAAAAAATATATTCCCGATTAACAATAATGCTTGTCCAGAGTTAGCAGACGAATCGAGAATACTTAGCACGTAAACCATATCGCTTTTTCTCAGATACAAAGTTTGCGATATTTCAAACTTTCCTATTGGAATATACTTAGGTTAGACTAGGTTAGGTTAGGTTAGGTTAGGTTAGGTTAGGTTGTAACACAGTTACCTTTCCGAGAGAATCGCAAGCTGCGTTTCGGAGCTCACGGCGATCGAACGTGCGAAATCTCACGACCGCTTCGATTATTTCGGAAACGACGGAAAAGGCGCGCGACGTGACGCGACCGCTCGTCTTCACGTCGGAGACTCTTATGGCGCGCGATATTGAGACGCTAAGTAGCGCGCGATTGTCGCGCGACCTCTCTCTACCGCGTCAAGGACGCCTAACTTCAGACGCGCCGGAACACACTCGGCCGCGTTCTAACGGGTTTTCTTCACTTGTCTGATATTGCCCGGATATATCGCGCGATATTTTATGCTATTGGATTTTCCATTGCGCGCTGCCCCGCCGTACGCGCGTTTCTATGCAACGTACGGCCAGCAATTATTAAGATTCGATAATTGCAATTTCGGTTTCGATTAGATTTAATAATTAACAAGGCGCCCGATTTCGTAACCAGCACGGACGGGCAGTATTGAGTGACTGGTTGCGCGGTAGTTTCATAATATATCCCGCGTAATATTTCTCACGTAATAAAGGTATTATCGGCAGGTACCGGTATCCCCGTTATTTTACCAAGGAGATTTACGGTATTCAGACAGGCTTCTTTGCCGGGTATCTGGCGCCGCTCGCGGTGCGCGCGCGTGCGAGAGAGAGAGAGAGAGAGAGGCGAAGGATATGAAAATAACAAGGTGGTCCTATTATTAACGGTACCTCAGAGCTGCGAGGAACAAAAAGTCCGGAGCGTAGCAAAGAGTTTAATTTGCGAAGTCTGTCCGCCGGTGAGAGGGTGCCTCAAAGAACGCGTCTTACGCGACGTTATGTAATAACATAACTGCGTACAGTCCCGCCGGCGCGAGGCAAGATAAAACAACAGTTGAAACGCGAAGTTTGTTGCACTCGGTGCATTCTCCTCCATCCGAGTTTGCACCTGTCGTCGTTGTCGTCGTCGTCATCGTCGTCGTCGTCGTCGACAGCGGCGGTGGCGAGTCTCCCATTTGAGTGTTCGCCGGCCACGGCTTTGGCTCACTTGAGGGAGAGAGAGAGAGAGAGAGAGAGAGAGAGAGAGAGATATTTCCATACGCGTCGACGGAGCTTAAAGGACTTCGCGTTAAGTGGCACACGGAGCACCTTCGGTGGTTAGCCCCGAACAGAAGCCACCGTCCCAAGAAAAGCTCTCGAGTTCGCGGGAAAGTTTAGCTCGTGTGCCGCCTTTTAGAAAGGAGGACGCGTTAAAGCCGCAGCTACGTGTGGCCGCAACGACGGTCGTCCCGGGAGGGAGGGCGGCGAGCAGGAGGGCAAAGGAAGAGAGATAGTCGAGCTTTTAGCTCGGAATGACAAACGTTAAGTTTTGTGCTAGACGTTACTCCGGTTGTACGTTCCTTACCAAGACCGTAGCGGTCTTCGACTTAACACGCCCAACAGACCCCGACCTCCGACCCTCTATCATTCTCCCCACCCCTCTCTCTCTCTCTCTCTCTCTCTGTCTCTCCTCCAACACTATCACCGACACCGCCGGGCTGTCTTCACACGAACGGTTGAAGTGTTCGTGCGCGTTAGTGCGTATCGTAAAGGAGAGTGTGTCAACCAGCGCACACTCCGCGCGATATTGGCGAGACCATATAATTTTGCTTCATCGTCGTCGTTCGCGCCCCGCGGAGCGTCCCGAAGACTTGACGACGTTGTGTGCTGAAAACGTGTTACGCGCGGCTAGATGAGAAACTGTTACCTGCGAACGAGATGGCGGACAGGCGAACAGGGGAAGATCGAGAACGAGCGAACTGAAAAGTTTCAGACGTAGCGCATGCTATTAACGCGAGCAACGGAAATTAACCACTTCGCTCTCGCGAACTCGCGAGCCGCGGGAAAGCTCTCTCCCTCAGTCTAGGGTGACCATATATACTCTTTTAAGAGTACGTGTACTCTTTTTAAGGTGGTAAAAAGAGTACTCTCTACTTCTTACGTACTCGTACTCTTGTATGTACTCTTTTCTCGTAATGTTAATTACACTTTGTCGATAATGACCAGAAAGCAGACTTCGGTGACGTTTTCATCATTCACAGCATTTGAGCACCGCGCGAGCGCCAATACCGATTATGCGTAGAGGTTCTGCGCAACGGTAGTTACTCGGTAAATCGTGCAGCACAATCGACAACTGGCGCATAGCGCTCTGTGAGTGCGGAAAACGGCGCTGATGTCCGCTCTTTGGTAACGACAACAGTGAAAACCGAGATTGTCAGGCGATGTACGGAGTGGAAAATATAATTATAAAGTATCTTAATAATATAGTAGAACATATGTGTCCGACTAATATTTCTCGGTTTATTTAGTACCCACTATGTTTTATTTTAAATATTATACCTAGTAATCCATTAATCACTGTCCCAGATAAAACACGAAATCATTTTGACGTCAAAATGACATAATTTTTATATTATTTGACATCATCTTGACTTTTATGATATGATTTTATGTTCTGCTTACTGTACTCTTTTGGGACCGTAATTAGTACTCTTTTATACACTTTTTTTTTACCCGTCTTTTACTCTTTTTTTATGACTGGGATATGGTCACCCTACCTCAGCCCCCAATCTCGATCGGAATCAATCCTCGGGCCGCTCCCGCGTTGAATTTTTATTGCGCGATCACACCTCACGTCCGAATGGTTCGTCCAATTCGGGGGGATTCTGGGGATAAAAGTGTCAAAATTAAAAATATTCTCCTCCGCGCGCATAGCACGAGAACGCACAGCAGACGCGATTTCGGTGAAGCGCGAGTTCGCAGAAATTGATTTTAATTGGCTTCCGCCGCTCACACCGAACGATTCGTATGACTTCTGACGAATGTCTGCTATTATTTTACCCGCGTCTCTCCTCTGCGTTGTATTCCCCACCGAGTCCTGCGTCATCTCCTTCTTGTGGGCTCGAAAGGTTCAAGCCCATCAGCAATGTGAAAAGTTCACTTCGCTCTCTCGAGGCTCTTATTAATCTGACAATAATTGGCTGCTGCAGCTTCAAGCGCAGGAATTGAAACTTTGAGCAGCAAGAGAAAGGAACAATCGCGGGTGGAATAAATAATTACACAAATCAGCGTTCACACATATACACACACATGGAGTAACTGGGAGGGTTGAATTCTCCACGCAAAAGAGAGAGAGAGAGAGAGAGAGAGAGAGAGAGAGAGAGAGAGAGAGAAGGGGGGAGGATTGAATTTCTCGGCTCCTCGCAATTGCGATACATTCGGAGTGTTTGACGTCGACGACGGTGTAACGCACCGTGTTGTTGATCGCGCAGAGTATTCGATATCTTCGCGTATTACACGAGCCCTACTCGCGTTCATGGGATTGAAATTAATCAAGGGATACGCTCTCGCGTTCGACGCGATTGCAATAAAGAAAGCCATCTGGTCATGCGAAATTACGTCATTCTCTCGGGTTGTCGTCTGATACTTCGTCTGATAGAGAAAAGCGCAGCAAACATAATAAACCCCCATCGGCGAAAGTAATAAAAACTTAGACAAGACAGAGAGGCGCCCCGGCGAGAGAGAGAGGGGGGGGGAGAGAGAGAGAGAGAGAGAGAGCGGTCGCTGATAAAAAGTACTCTCGAGATAGCGGAAGAGAGAAAGGGAAAGAAAGCAATTGGCGGACTTCGGGAACGAGTCTATTTATCGTGCCACTCTCGACATGTACTCGTCTCTCTTGCGTCCAACCGCCCTTCGTCAGCCGCCCCCATCCCCCCCTGCGAGCCGCGCTTCTTAACGGCACGTTGTACCTTTGAGTGATGCTAAAGGCGATTAAAGCGCCGTCAAAGTTCGCCGCGACGCGACGCGACGAGACAATTCCGAGACGAGACAATGCCGCCGTCTGCGCGGAAGACGCCGCGGAAGTGCAAACGCGCGTAGTCAGTTCGCCGATTCTTCTCTATACTCAGCCGCGCGGAACTTGGCGGCGACGCGACGTCGACGTAGGCAGCCGTCAAACACGCCGCGGCATTTTAAACGCGCTATTTTATTCATCCGGTACGCAAGAGTCCCGAGGAGCGCGCGCGAGGGAGACGAGAGCGGTGCTAAATTTTTCAAGCGTATCGCTTTGAGGCTGAGACGAGGCTTACGCCCGACGATTTGTCAAAGTCCTTTACATTCCCGACGCCGACACGTCGCTTATTCCGCAGAAACATTTCGCGCGGCGGCCATTAACGCGACACTCGAATATAAATCACTGGCTCAACCACGTGCTGTTATCGCTCTCGTCGATGATCCAATTGCCTTTAAGTGACCAATAAACAACACGTTATCTGATACGTCGTCGTTTCGGGGACACACACACACACACACACACACACATGCGTATGCCCGTGTATCAACGAGAGCATATGTGACGTTTAGCGGTGGCGACGTTTTTCGGAATTGTCCCTTTAATCGACTCCGCCGCCGCCGCCGCCGCCGCCGCCGCCGCCGCCGCCGCCGCCGCCGCCGCCGCCGCCGCCGGTAATAGAAACGCGATGAACGGCTCTTCGATTTATGCCGTTCAGACCGCCGCGCCGTCGACTACGACCGCGGTATACACGATAATAAAATCGCGGCCGCTCGTTCCTCCGTCCCGAATCGATGTTTGCGCGTAATCAAATTCTCCCGCTCGGCGACGGGCAATTGCGACGGTAAAACTAATTTCGGGCTACGACCAGCAGCGGCGGCGCGGGCGACGGGCGAGCCGCGCGCGTATGCATCGCGCGGAAATGCGCGCCCGATTACGGGATCGACGAGACTTGAGAAGGAGCGATCGATGAGTGCCGGCGTGATAATACGCGCGAAACCAATACTGCTCGCTGCTAATACAAGCCCCGTCGTCCCGACGTCTGATTACGCTTTTGACGTTACACGTCGAGTGGATTAATTAACCTATTAAAACCCGCTGCCGGCGCCAAACTCGATCGTGACACTTCGGATTGTATTATTTCTTACTCGCTTGACGGAACATCTCTCTCTCTCTCTCTCCCTCCCCCCCCCTCTCTCTCTCTCTCTTTCTCTCTCTCGCAGTAAACTTGCGCTCGCACTACGCTACGAGTCGCACAGATTGCGACGCCGTCGCGTCGCATTCGGTGCTCGTGACAATGATTGAGATTATAATCTAAGCAATTAGATAAGACATCCCGCGGCAGAGAATCTCGTGAAAATTGGGGTAGAGGGACATTTCATCGCACCCACGTGTCCTCTATTTTTCGTCGATTGCAATTCCGACTGACGATCGCTGGGAACGGCCAGAGAGCACACAGAGCGACCGGCGAAACGAGTAACAATAGTTATAATTGTACGGGGATTCTCGTGAGAGAGGATTCCCAGGAAGAAGGG